GATTCGGACCACTATAGAAAGTCCGAACTTGCATCCACGTAGGTATGCCATGGTATGGGCATCTCCTCAATAAATCCTTAAACCGTTTCCACGTGTCATAAAGCGTCTCCGACTCAATCCGCGCAAATGAAGAGATATCATTCCCGAGCTTTGCAGTCTTTACGAGTGGGAAGTATTTTGCTAGGAACTTCTCATCATTTGGCTCCGTGCAATAAACATATCCCTTAGGTAGAGAGTTCAACCACTCGCTTAGCTCTACTCCTCAATGAGAATGGGAATAGTCTCAATCAGCGGCATCATCTATAGCCCCATTGATCTTAAATGTGTCATAAATTTCCAAGAAGTTGGCCAAGTGAGCATTCGGGTCTTCGTCTTGCAAGCCGTCAAACTACACAAATTGTTGCACCATTTGGATGATGTTCGGTTTGATCTCAAAGTTGTTGGTTGTAACGGTTGGTCCGACAATGCTAGACTCCGTTCCTCTCAAATTTGGTTTAGCATAATCAAACATGGTTTTTTCTTCCTCGGCAAGGACCATATGTGGTTCTCCTTCCCTCCGATGTTCTTCTTCTCTTTTTCTATCTAACTCTTCTTCTCTTTGTCTAAATCGATTCCCGAGGTTTTAAAGAATTAATCTTTCTATTTCGGGATCTCGCTCAACTAATTCGATCGGGTTGTTGCGAGGCATACACTAACTTGGCTCTCGAAAAAGTGCACGAACAAAGAAAAGCGTAATTCAAAGAAAATATGATAAAGAAAAACAGAACTAAATATTATATAAAAATAAATAAATAAATAAATAAAATGGCTAGATTAATAAAAATAAAGTTTTCCTAATATCCTAGTCCCCGACAACGGTGCCAAAAACTTGATAGCCCAATTTCTTAACCTATAGACTTTAGGCAAGTGCACCTATCGTTCTATAGTATAATTGACAGAGTATCGAGTGTCGATCCCATAGAGACTAAGATTACTAGTAATTATCTCCTATTTATTATCTAATCGATGAATTATAGTGATAATGAATCAAATAAAAGCACCGATAATTAAAGCAAGATTACAAAATTGCAATGAGAATGACGATAATAACCGGATGAGCAATCAATGGTGAAGGTAGTACCCGGATAGTGAATCCCCTTAGATCTTCTATGTAATCACAATGTCTTTTATTCAATCATTCTTTATATTCATTGGATCGTTGGAATTCTCGAATTATGCTATGTACTTTCTCAAGTTAACTAACACCTAATCCCGAGTTGATTAATTGAAATCTCTTTCTAATTAACACCCCTAAGATCGCATTAATGTGTTTTATGAATTCCTTTATTAGATTTGACTCTAATCCGGAGGATTTACGTCGTCCTGTCTCTAGGATTGCATGCAACTACTTTCAGTCATGGTTGATCTAATCATATTTAGGGCTTTTCAATCGCACAAGTATGAAATCAAACATGAATCAACATGCTAGCTTATGTTAACTCAAATTAATAATAAAAGTGACATAACTGAATCACAATAAAAATAACGATTGAATTGAATGAAGATATCAAATTACATAGTCAATCTTAGGGTTCATCGTATCTAGGTACCAAAATAATTTAGTTCATGATCAAAGCAAGGAATACATAAATCTTAAATAGAAAACAATCCAGATTAAAAGAAAACATTGTAACCCTTATGATCTTGATGCAATCTTCTTCAAAATCTATGAGAATCCACTCCAACGGCGTTATCTTGCTCAAAAACCTTAGTTCTTTTCGTGCTTCTCAGCCGTCCTCCTCTATCTCTCGCTCCTCCCTTGATCTTAGGTCGACTTTCTAATTAAATAGGAGTAAAAAATCACATTTCGTAAGACACGGCCAAGTACATGGTCGTGTCTTTCTCTATGTAATCCGGATGTAATTTTTCCTCGAAGTAGACGGTTACACGGCCTAGTACACGGTTATGTACCGGTCCGTGTAACACTCAATTTTATGTATCGGCTCTTTTCTAGTTACACGGTCGTGTCCCCGGCCGTGTAACTCATTTGTCATTCAAAACTCATAAAGTTTTACTCCTTTTTGCTTTGTTTACATTCCTTTTTACCAAAATAATGTAGTACGACCTCGCAAAACATAATTTAGACAAGATAAATGCCAAACTTGTACCATTTATCACCAAAGGTAATTGAAATATAGGAACTTTTGACACTAAAATTATGCATAATTTGGTATTTATCAAACTTACTCAAGCTAGCCAACACACAAATGAAGAAAAGAGAGAAATCTATGTTTTGACGAGTGACGATCTATGCTTCTATGAAAAATTTACATCGATCCGTGTTAAATGGTTAGTCATATCTAGTAAAAAAATAGTTTGTCATGTCTTCTTAAACCAATGTGGTCCGTAACATAAGTCTAAATCAAAATAATCAATCATATCTTGTCAAAAAGTGTAGCCTCTTATGTTATTCAAAATCAATATGGTCCATCATGTTAGTTTAGGTCGGATTGGTTAGTCATATCTTATCAAAAAAGTATGTTCCGTCATGTCATTTCAAATAAATATGGCTCGTCTTATCAATCTAAATCAGAATGGTCGGTTATGTCTTGTTAAAAAGTATTATCTCGTCATGTCGATCTAAAGTCAAAATGGTTTATCATGCTTTGTAAAAAAAAACATGGTCCGTCATATTCCGTCGAGCCAATGTGGTCCGACACATCGGTCTAACTCGGAATAGGCGATCTTATTGTGCTAGAAAACATGATCTATCATGACGCTTTAGGACAAAGTGGTCCGTCACCCATTGTCAAATTCAAAAAAACATGGTTTTTCATATCCTTCCAAGCAAATATAGTCCGTCACATTAGTCTAAGTCAAATTAGTTTGTCATGCCTTATGAAAAAAAAAAAGATGATCAGATCACGTTCCCTTTTGACATGGTCGATCATGTCTTACAAAGGCGACGCAGATCAATCGCACCCCTTCAAATCAATATGGTAAGTCACATTTCCTTTTGACATGGTCAGTCATGTCTTCTAAAGTTTGGAGTGGTCGGTCATGTCCTTTTCAAATCAACATGGTCGATCACGTTCCTTTTTGACATGACTAGTCACGTTCTCTTTTTGACATGGCCGGTCGTGTCTCACAAAGTTCGTAGGGTCGGTCGTGTCCCCTTAAATCAACGTGGTCGGTCATATTTCCTTTTTAACATGGCTAGTCATATCTCATAAGGTCACTCCAGTCAGTCATGTCCCTTCAAATCAATGCGGTTAGTCACGTCCTCTTTCGACATGGCTATTCATGTCTTATAAAGGCGATGCGATCGGTCGCACCCCATCAAATCAATATAGTCATTTACGTTTCCTTTTGATATGGTTAGTCATGCCCTTCTAGGTCGATGTGGTCGGTCGCATCCTTTCAAATCAACGTGATCGATCATGTTTTCTTAATTTTACATGGTCGGTCATGTCCTCCCAAGTTAGCGTGATTGATCGCACCCCTTCAAATTAATATGGTCGATCACGTTTTCTTCATATGACATGGACGGTCATATCGTTTGAAGTTGACATGGTTAGTCATGTCTCCTTCAAATAAACATGCTCAATCATGTTTTCTTAATTTGACATGATCGATCATATCCCTCCGAGTTGGCATGATCGATCACGTCCCCTTCAAATCAACATGATCGATCACGTTCTTTTAATTTGACATGGTTAGTCATGTCTCTCTAGGTTGGTGTGGTCGGTCGTGTGTCTTCAAATCAATATAGTTAGTCACATTTCTTTAATTTGACATGGTCGATCATGTCCTCCCAAGTTGGCGTGGTCGGTCACACTCCTTCAAATCAACATAGTTAGTCATGTTTTGTTAATTTGACATGGTCAATCATGTCCCTCCAAGTTGGCGTAATCGATCACATCCCCTTCAAATCAACATGGTCAATCACACTACTTTTAATTTGACATGGTCGATCATGTCCCTCCAAGTTGGCATGATCAATCACGTCCCCTTCAAATCAATGTGATCAATCATGTTTTCTTTTAATTTGACATGGTCGAGTCATGTATTACAAAAGTGATGTGGTTAGTCACATTTCTTTTTGACATGGTTAGTCATGTCTTTTAAGTTGGTGTGGTTAGTCGCATCCCTTCAAATCAATATGTTCAAGTAACATTTTCTTTTGACATAACCGAGTCATGTCTTGCAAAGTCAACACAATGAGTCGCACCTCTTCAAATCAATTTGGTCAATCATGTTTTTTTTAATTAGACATGGTCGATCATGTCCCTACAAAATCGATCCGGTCAATCACACCCTTTTTAAATTGACATGATTAGTCATTTTCTTTCAAAACTCGACATGGTTAGTCATGTCTTCCTTAACTTTCTTCTATTTTCTTTACAAGCTTACTATGTAAAGCCAAAGAAAAAGATTTTTCCATGACTTTACATCATAAGCATTGTAAAGAGGAGACAACTCGTTATCACCCAAATTTTTACCCTTATTACTTTTTCTTTAATTTTTATTTTTGTTAAAAAATACCTAAAAAAATGAAAACGAAAATGAAAAAAATGAAAAATCAATTGTAATAATTAGTTTAGGTTAATTAAAAAAGGGAAAAAGAAAAAGAAAAAGGGAGGGGGTTAATTAAAGAAATGGAAAGTTTAGAGATAATAAAAAGGGTAATTAAGGGTCCAATAAAAAAAATCAAAACTTATATCCTTTAATTGAAATAAAAGGAGGGCACAATTAGGAGAAACAAAAAGAAAAATCCAATTAATTCAAATTTAGGGGCTCTATCAAAATGAAAAACAAAAATTAAACTTGAATTGATTGGTTATAGAGTATGGAGGACCAAAACAAACTTCGTCAAAAATCCTACATATAAAATCCACCCCATGCATTTTTTATAAGAAACTACTATTCATTGTCACCTAAAAAACACATTCAGCCGCCTCTATCCCCTACACCAAGTTCTCGACCAAAACTAGCCTCCCTTGCACATACAACCGCAACACTCATTTGAAACCCTTCCATAACAGCTCCTCCCTCTTGTGACAAGCCATCACATCCCCTCCATCTTCTCCTCTTGATAAACACCCACACGCCAACTCCTTCCTCACTCGAAGCTCATTGCCCAGCTTCGGCTCCTCCAACCCTTCAATCCCACACACCACAACCCTTCTCTCACACGCTAGGCACGTCAAGCACACCTTCACGGTCAACCCTCAACACACAAGGCTCTCTCCCTCGCACCTATCGGCCTCCACTCTAGCCACCACACGCTAGGCATAAGCATGCCCAACTGACCCTCCACACACTAAGCCAATTCCCATGCCACAAAACCCCCCACTTTAGCCTCCTTCCCATACCATAAAACTAACCACTCCAACCTTGAAACATAGCCACCAAAAGCCCCCATACCTCTAACCCTCACACTTACGCTTGTAGCTCTTTTTCTCGCCTACTTCACCGACCATCCCCTACACACCAGTAGCCCACAGCCTTCCTCTCGTCCACTACCCCACCACATCACCAACCTCACCCACACACTAAGCTCCCAACTCCGACTTACATGCCTCCGTACCTTCTTACCCCCATATTGCTGGCTTTCTCATGCCCACACGCCTAGTAGACCCACTCCGATCAATAGCTCCAACCTCATCTCTAGCCTCAACATACGCTAGCCGACCCAAGCACATAGGCCCTCTCCCACACGCCAACCATACTCGCTATAAGCTAGTGACTCCGACCATAAAAAAATTAGCCACTCCAACCATAAAACACAACCACCAAAACCCCTACTCTATCCTCCTTCCCATACCAAAACATCCAAAAAAAAAAAAAAGAAGAGAAATAGACCTAAAACACCTTAAAATTAGATCCAAAACAACCACCAATAACAGACTTTTACAACTCTAAAAATATTCACTAATAGCCCCTAAAAAAGCCCCTCTAGATAGCCTTATTAAACCACCAAAACATGCCCAAGATAGCCTTAGGACAATCCTAAAACAACCACCAAAATACCACAAAAAATCCCTCAAAATAGCCACTTCGACATTTTTGAGTTATTGAAGAAAATGGGAGAAGAAAAAGCAAAAATTAAAAAAAGAAAAAACTAAAAAAAATTGTGTTGGATTTTGTTGGTAAGAACAACATGATGTTGGAGACTGCATTTGGTTGATTTTTGACAGGAAAGTAAGCAAAAAAGTCACTTGGAGCTTTCAAAAACTCTACAATAATAACTCTGTAAATTTTGTAGTAATTTTGGAGCATTCACCCGAGTAACAAAGGAGTTTTTGGCCAATCTAGTGGTATTCACACCACTCATTACCCACCAGCGAGTTACTCTTCTTTCTCAACTAATCAAATAATTGATTATCATTGGAAACAAAGAGGGTAAGACTCGTAAATCGAACATCGACATTTCGGACTCTTGGGTAAAAATTCTAAAACCGTAGCACTTTCAAAAATATGATAAAGGTTAAAAATGACTGATGTGTTTAGAATGTGATTAAAATTGTAATATTTGGCTTCACATTTATGGATTAAATACGATTAAAAATGAAATATTACCGCAATGATCGATAAAATGTTTTGTTTTCGTATTATTATGCCTACCTATTTAAATGCGATGTTTGTGCTATTTTTATGGTGTAATTAACTTTTTGTGGTTTGTTGCAATGATAAAATGAAGCTACTTAGTGACTTTCCACTTATATGACAAAGCCATCAATGGTTTTGAAATAATTTTATCCGTTTCTTGATTCCTAATTCCTATTTTTCTCAATTTTTGTTCCTTATTCCCCGATTCTTGTTTTCTATTGTTTGTTTGTTATTTCATCAAAATGAACTCGTCGGTGGCTTCCTACTTATGTGACGAAGCCGATAGTGGCTTCAAAATAATTTTTATTTAATGTCTATTTGTTTGAAATGAAGTCGTTAGTGGCTTTCCACTTATATGACGAAGTCGCCGGTGGCTTCTAAATAGTTATCTACTCTTGCTCAATCTAAATAAAGTGATCGGTAACTTTCAACTTGTGTGATGAGATTATCGTTAGCTTCAAATTCGGGAATTAAAATTGTCAATGGCTTTCCACTTGTGTGAGCGAAGTCGCCGATGACTCACTCGCTCATGTTAATAAAAGGCTATTCATCTTTAGAAACGCACCTATTGGTTGATGATAGCTCATGTTCACTAATGATTAGCTGAAATTCTAATTTTCTCTTTTTTTTTCCCATTTGGATAGGGAGTATTGACCTTAGATCGGCTCGATGCCCAAACTATCCCGTTTATGCCCAAATCATCATGTCCGATATTTTTATAAAATAAATTCATTTGAATAGGTATAGAAATATAACACTATAAAGATCATATTTTTATTTTCATAGGCAAACAATGCAGCTTACCTTGGGTAGGATGGGATAGCAATGATGTTACATCTTTTTCATACGTAACCGACCCCTTATCCGGATATCTACGTAAACTAGTATGTTTAAGGTTTCCTTGCTCTCCCCGATTAACTAGTGACAACTAATTATTCTGCCCCTCTTCGCGATGGCCTACATCGACATAAATAATTTAGATCATTTGGTAAAGCACTTGTGTAGAAGAAATTCAATAGTTGAAACAAATGATTAAGTTTTTTGGTAGATACATACCTCATGGTTTATTATCTCAATTGGTTAAAGCTTCGTGATGATAATGTGTTATTAAAAAATGATAACAATGATAGAATTTGAGAGAAAAATGATGAAGAAATGATTTCACTATGAAATAAAAAGGATACAAGAGATAATAACTTCAAATAATCTCTTAATCTCTATAAAAATGCTTTTACACAAACTAATGAATAATCAAGCCTATTTATCGGCTTCAAGATTAGGAAGAGAATTGGAAGAGGCTATGAACCATTAAAAGATGCATAAATAATTGAATAAATTGCATCACCCTTTCAATTTTTCATATTGAATGGTGAATTAAATCAAATGAGTAGTGGGAATATGAAATAGTTATGGACATTCATTCTTTCATAACATTGTCTATTTTTTTATCTAGTTCATACCCATTATATCATACTATGCCCATACCGGTTTACCTACTAATTTTTTTCTCTTGAATTGAAGACTTTTTTTTAAAAAAATTTTTTTTACTAAAAACTATTTTTTTGCTATAAACTCTTTTGTCTAGATGCTTTTTATATAGTTGGATTTTTCTATATAACTGATCATATTTGTATTTTGTGATTTATGTAAACTACTTTTTTATTAGGCTAAATAGTTTGGGCTTATTAACATGTAGGTTTCTTAGTCCTATAACAAATAATAATGACAAGAATAATAATAATATCAATAAATAATTACACTAATGAATTTTGGCTTCATCGAAGTGGTACCCTTGAAAGTATTTTTTTCATATTTAATATTATTATTGAAGTAAAATCCCAATAGGCTTAAATAGGTACCTATCCCTTAACCAACCTTGCTTAGTTTAGAAACAACAATTTTTACTTTTTATTCTTGTAGCAAGTCAATGTAGAGAATGATTTTTAAATTATTCAAAAAAAAAATAACGTCACGAGTTTGCTCGCAAAAACACTCCTTATCATCCATATCGTTTTTTTTTTTAAAAAAAAAACTCATAATTGTTACAATCTCAATCAATGTAAGGTCACGAGTTTGTGTTGTTTGTTTATTTTAAAATTTTATGTTTTTTTTTAATGTATAAATAATGAGTATCAATAAGGTAAAAAATGATACCCATATTCATGAATTAATTCTTCATTAATATAAATAGATAATACTATTTTACTCATATATAACCCATTATTCATTAGGATATTTTTAAAAGATAATTAATGAACGAGTTAGGCGAGCACCTATTTTGTATCCGACCAACTACCATCCCTAGCGGTGAGTGAGGTAGGGTTTATCAGCCCACATGGCCCATTATTTTTTACTTGATACCTACGTTGATAATTATTCTTGGACTCAAATGTGCTTTATCATGTTAGTCAACATTATTTCCGTTCTTAACCTAACCATTCATTTTCCCCTCTCTTTTTATTAAAGAAAAATACCTCTCACTTTTCTCTCTTTTGTTCCTTATACTCTCCGAAGAAAAAAACTCTAACTATCTTTGGTGATTTTTTCACTAAATTATTGGCGAAAATCCTTAATTTTCATCACTTTTTTTCTAATTTTTTTTCTATCAAATAATTTTAAATATGGTTCTTTATAAATCCAAAAATAATTTTATTCTTTTATTTATTTTTTCTATAGTTCTTTAATTTTATGTATCCAATTGTTAGGGTTTTATTCTCTTTAAATAAAAGTTTGATAATTACATCTTATGATTTAGAAAAGATTGACAATTTCTAGCCATTATGGAGAAATGAGATCTACCGTCAAAAGAACCTAGTAATGCAATCCATTTTTCTATTAATTTGTGGCAACTTAAGGTTTTTCTACATACGTGAGATGCAACAATAATTTTATTTTAGGAAGTCCTAGATAGAAAAGATCGAAGTATCAACATGATGTTTACAAAAAGATTAGTAGTGCCTAAAAACTTATATATCAATCTTTTTGTTGGATGTTTCATTTAATTTATTTTTATTTATTAAATAATTTTTATAGTCAATATATATATTGGAAATAGCAATGTATGTTGTTTTAATTTTGATTCAATGAAATTTATTTATATAGTCCATGATAAAAAATAAGAAGAAAAAAATTCATTCTCAATACGAAGTAATGTTTAACCATTCCATTCTAATGAAAAAATTTATTCCAAATGTATAGTAAACTCTCACATATAAATAATAAATATCACTATATTTATTTTCTAAAATACATATTGTCAAATATAACTAGTCGGTAGTATTGTTATATATTTGATGAGGTTGTGATCCTCGGATTAAGACTCATAGTTAGATAATTTTTAATCCAAATGGATCATATGATTGATATAATTTTTTGTGCGTTGAATTAGTGCCAAGTAAAAAAAAAAAAATTGTTCTCTTTTAGTGTTTGAAGGACTCTTGACTAAGTTAATTTATGAAAAGTGGTGTATCGTTTGAGTAAGTTCTAAAGAATTTAACTCTTATATAAAGAATATATGTAATATTTTATCTACTTTGAACTTAAAAAGCAAAACATGTAATAATTGGTGTTAACCTTTAGATAGGTGAGGTGTGATCAACTTGCATAGAATGAAGGACATATTGGTTCCTTCTCTTATGTTTAATAATTTTTTACATCCACTTGAAGGTTGAGGACTTTTTAGACAAATCTCATTGTCTAACAACGCATGTATAGTCATGTTTGGTAATGATATAATAGAGGCATTTTGAGAAAACCATGCATTCATTAATTAATTATTATTATTATTTTTTTTTTTGTCTAACAAGTAAAAAGAAGGGTTTCTTCTTTGTTCGTCCACTCGTCCATATTGATCCTCGAGTCTTTATCTAGTTGTAATGCTCCTAATAAATGCTCGGGGTTGTCCTCGCTCTTAATGAAACCTTATCCAAGTGATTTTTAAGTAGAATAAAAAGACATATGTCATGATTGTGATTATATAAATATATCGATATCTAATTTATATTTTTTAAATTAATTGGTTCGATAATATACTATACTACTAATCAAACAGAGACTTGTACCTCAAATTTAATTTTTTGAAATTGAGTATCATAATTATTTTTTAGTTTGTAATCATGTTGGTAGATCCTATTGACCAACATCTAAGCACATATAAAAGGCACATGATTGTGAAATGACTGAAAAAATTCAAACCTAAATTAATTGCCAAATTTAAAATCCTTACCTAATTTTCAACCTAATTTCAATCAATATCATGTGCTGCTTCTTTTTTTTTTTTTCCCTTTCCTAACAAATCTAAAATTTTTGCCCAATCTACTACCTAATTTCAATTAAGATCTTTTTTGTTCTTTACTAACAAATTTAAAATCTTTTCTCAATCTCTTGCCTAATTTCAATAAAAATCATTTTTGCTCTTTCCTAATAAATCTAAAATCTTCCTAAATAAACCAAAAAAACGTAGGATTTTTCGATTGGAAGAGAGAGGGCTTCAGCTTCGTTTAATACTGGCTAATGTTGGATTTTAGTGTTGTTTGGCTGAGAAGAAGATGGCTATAAAGGTCGTAATGGCTGGTGGTGGATTTTTTTTTTTTTTTTGAAGGAGAAAGATGGCACAAGAGCTTTCTGTCCAAATCGCTTAAAAGCTCTGTTCCAAATGCAATTAATGCACACCTAATTCATTATATTTTATAGAAACTCATTCTTATCAGTCAGCTATAAAAATGCGCTTAAAGCAGTTAGTCCAAGGAAAAAAAAAAACCCAAGAAAAAAAAACAATAATTTATTATCAAATTCTCATATCTGATCGTCCATGGCTAATTGGAGCAGAAACTTATTTAAAACACAATAAAACATTTATCAATCTATTTCTTTGTCAGAGTTTCGCAGTTAATTTTGCAACACTCAATCCAAGCACGCCACATAATTCCGGGTACAAACTCTTCCTTATCTCCTTGTAAACCTCGCCGAGCCATTTTCTCGATCCCAACTGTTCCCCTAGGCGCACTGTAGCCTCACTCAACCTTTCCTCGTTATCGTGTGCCGCCTCCACAATTCCCATCCTCGCCGCCTCGTCTCCCTTAACCTTGGCTCCTCTCAACAACACATCGCGTAGAGCCGAAGGCGATCCTACCTTAGCCCTAAAAAGGGCCGTGAAATAATCAGGTATGGTAAGCCCTACGTCAACCTCGCTCATGTACAGCACACCTCTATCCCTCTTCATGTGGACATAGTCATGACTCAGAGCCAGAATCAGCCCCGCGGCGGCTGCGTGGCCGTTTACGGCGGCGATGGTTGGCATAGGTAAATTGATCAGCTCGGCTACCACCGGCTTGAGAAGTTCCACCATGTGGAGGAGGCGCTCGGTGGCTTTATTCTGGGAACCGGCGGCTTGAGCCCATGCTAGATCGAAGCCGTTGGAGAAGAACTTGCCTCGCGATGTGGTGATGAGAACCGAGCCTCTGGTGGCTTGCGATTTGGCTTGGCGAAGAGCGGAGAGGATGGAGTCGATAAGAGTGGGGTTTAAACGGTGCTCATCGTCGCCGGTCAATGTTAAAAAGAAGATGTTGTTGCCGGTCTTCTCTAATGTGCACATGGTGAGAGTGATGGTAGCTAAGATGTTATGAAGACTATTTGGTGCTGTGTGCTGTTGGTGTCTATTTATGTTTGTGCAGAGAAGAGGATGAGTAATGAAGGTTGTTGAAGAGGACAAATTTTAAAATACTTCAAAAATGGCTATTAGTTACTCCCTTACAGAAATGGTAACGCATTTTGAATCGTCGATTTTGATTTAGGAACTATCGGTTAAGGTTCCACCAAAAAGTAAAATTTGAATCAAACATTATATAGATGGTTATGGTTCTGATTTGAAACTATAAAATGGAGGGTTCTAAACCATTTGAAACCGACGGTTCAACGATTTTTTTATTAAATGAAAAATAAAAAAATAATAGAATATTTTTTCTCAAGTATAAATTAAACATTAACATTGAAATAAAAAAACTTCTTTTTCACATAATATATAAATATTATAATATTTTTTACATTGTAATGTATTTCGCATAATAAATCAAAGGAAAAAATAAAGAAGGGTTTAAACTTAAATTTTGTAAACACTACAAAAATTAAGCTTCTTACGTATCCTTTTGGGGTTTAGAGGAATCAAAGTTTACGTAGTTCTCTTTTATATTTCAAATTACCCTTTTACAAATTACACCTATGTTCTATGTAGCTGGGCCTAGTTGCTTTCTTGATCGGAAGTTTCGGCTTCGAAGTTTTTGTCGTTGTGCCGTCGGTTGTTAGATCCACACTTTCTTCATTGAAATCATATTATTTTTGTTCTTATGTTCTTTTGTCGGCTCTTATCCAATCATCCATGCATACTTGGGCTTCAAGTGACTCGGGAGCCAATTGTCATTGCCTATCATCTAAAATATTACCTCCGGAGTAAAATGCTCTTTCAACGACTGTTGTTGAAGTCGGCACGACAAGTATTTATCTAGCTATTATGGACGGGATCGGAAAGGTGCTCGTATGTCTTTTCCACCAATCAATTACTTCAAAATCTACACTCGCATTGCTATCACCAAACTCAAACACAATTATTAGATAAAGATCAAGCTCGGAAGTGGAGCCTAATGATCCTCTTGGCCTTTTTATCTTTTCCATGGCCATAAGATAACCTAGCTCTAACACATTGGCTACTTGATGATGATTGTGGCATAAGTGGTAAAGAGGAACTAGCATGTTGATCACCCACGATTAAAGACATTTCAATATATAAATTTCTAACCTAATTTATAATAGAAGCGTTTCTAATTCTATATTTCTATCAAGTAATTACAAATACTCATAGTAAGTATTCAAAACAGCAGAAAGACCTTCCATTCTAAATCTAGGATCAAAGACAAAAGCAACAAGATAAATAGGTGGAATTGTTTCATAATAACTTAACCATTTTTGTTTCATTATTTGAACAACATCATGTAAAATTAGCATACCTTGTTCTACATGATTAAAAGCTTCAATAATATTAATTACTTCAATCATAAATAAATGTGAAGTTGGTTGATAAACGGCATTAAAAGTGTATGTTGCATTGTTAAAAACACTTAAAAGTTCCAACGAGTGGTTCGCAAATATCAAAATCATTTTGACATATAAAAACAGAATCAATATTTTCCGAAAAATGAGCATAATAAATCTTGATATTCAAATGACTCGCCTAAGTAAGTCATAAGTTGAATTCCAACGAGTTGGAAAATTTTTTGAAAATCGTCTTAGTTTTTTGTTTCTTTCTTTGTAAAACTTTCCCCATGATTTCATCTTTTGAGGATGCGTCAATAAATATTTAGCAAGAGCTTTAATTGGCCTAACAATATCTTTAAGATATTTCAAACCAGATTGCACACATAAATTTAAAACATGACATATGCATCTAATATCAAAAAACTTACCTCCAAAATGAGGTTGACAAAGTTCTTTTAAAGATTCTATCGAAGCATCATTAGAACTAGCATTATCAAAAGAAATTGAATATATATTTTAAAGGTAAAACATATTCATCTAAAATCCTTTTAGTATCTTATATATATTTTGAGCGATATGTTTATCATCAAAAACTCTATATGCAAGAAGAAGTTTTTGCACGTGCCATTCATTATCAATCCAATGACAAGTTACACCCATAAAGGAGTGAGTTTGCCATTGATCAAACCATATATCGAACATATAGAAACACGACTATTCAAATTTACAAATAATATAGTTAATTCTCTTTTTTTATCTCTACATAATTTTATAACTGTTTTTTTTTTTTTAAGAATGTCTTTCAACTTGTTTGAAAGCAGAATTCAAAGCATTAGAACAACAATCACTAAAACCCATTTTTTGACCAAAACTAAAAGATAAATGATCAATACATATCATTTTAGCCATTTTTTCTTTATTTTTTTTATCAAGTATACCGAAATAAAGAGGAAGGTTCGAAGCAAACCAGGATATTTGTGTCCGATGTTTATCATTACCAAGTACAAATTGATGTTTTTTCTCCAAGTGGGTTTTGAATGTTCCATAACCACCTCCTTGTTTGAATGTGTATTGCTTGTTGCGGTAGTTGTAAATCATAGTAAAAATACATTTTTCTAAAGGAACTTTTAAGAAATGAATTTTGAAGATGTCGAATGATCTAGGTGTAAAATTTGATTGTTGTTGTTGCTTCCTTGCCTAATTTTGATTAGCAGTATTACTTTGTTGTGATGACATATGTGAACTTGAACTTGTCATTTTTTGTAGTATAAAACAATAGAAATGTAAAAAATTTAAAAAATATTTGGAGTATAAAAAATATTGTAAGACAATATTGAGAATTCTAGACTTAAGAATTTAAGAGATTGAGTTGTGAGGAGAATGAAAAAATTGAGTGTATTTATAGAAAAAAACGGTCACACACACACACACACACATATATATTAAGCCCAAAACTTAAAAATTACTAGGCTTAATTTTTTTTTTCCATTTTTCAATCCAATAGCTACTCGTCCAGCCCATATAAAATTGTTTTTTTATTTAAATTTTTATTTTTTTCTACCCAACCCAAATTTATTAGGAAAGATGTGGAACCTGCTTGGCTCTACGGTTAACCGTCGATTTAGAACCGCCAGTTCCAATTTCATGATACCTTAAATCATAACTAACCCGTAGGTATCCGGTTACGATCCAGTTTGATCAAGGTTATAGTTTTAACGATTCCAGTTCGGTTTTTTAACGGTACGATTTTGATTCAATTATGGTTCGAACCGAACTCGTTACCATGTCTACTCCCTTGTCTACTTTTAAAGAAAGGGAGAGAGAGATGTACTTAAACATCCGAATTTATTAAAACCGATACGAATACTTTTATTTTGTCTAATTTTTTTTAATTTTTTATATTTTCTTTCCGTCTATAAGTATTGATAATTACTTTATAAGTAATATAAATTTTCTAGTTGAAAAGTGAAAAATTGAGATAATTGAAATAAATAATTTTTTTCTTTATGAATAGAGATATTGAGGTTTGAATATTCAATTAAATAATAAGGAGTGAATATTTAGTTATTCTAGTTTAGTTTTGATAAAATCAATTTTTTTTTTAAGATCACCGAATTTGTCAAAATTAAAATCGAATTTGAATTGAATTACAATTGAGTTTAACTATAGTGACGGTTGTCGTTAAAAGCAACTATTGAGTTTGAATGCGGGGACGATTGCTCTAAAAGGTGACTATAAAGATTGGAAGTGATGGTAGTTTTTGGATAGAGATGAGTTGAGTTGGAAGAAGAAATGAATAAAAATATATAAATTTGTTGAAGTAATTAGGTGTTGTTTGATAACTAAAAATAGAAATGAATAATTCAGAATGAAAATTGACGAATCGAAATGTGAATCAAGAAATTGGTATGACAATTTAAATTTAATTAATGTGCTTGATATCTTACTATTGAAATCAAAATGAAATGCTAAAATAATAACCATTATGTTTGACACAAACAAAAAAAAAATCAAAATAAATATTATATATTTATCATTGTATCCTTTAATAATTATAATAAATTTTTTCACAAAAGCAATTAAAATTTTAAAAAATATATATTTATGAATTTTTTTTTATTTTTTAAAAACAAGCTAACTTTTTTATCCATTACGTATAATGTTTTCCTCTAACTTTGAATTTTTAACAAAAAAAAACCTTCAAGGTACATTATTTTATTTTATTAGTTGATCTACTTTGGATAGTATTAGTTTTTTACCTATGCTATATTGTGAACCGGACAAAACATGCAAAATTATTTTAAAAAATAATTTCAATTTGATGGTACATACTATATTGTGAGTCAACTAAAATATATCAAATCGAAGGAAGAAAAACTATTATATTTTTTTAATTATGTGTTTAGCTAATTATTCATTATGTGTTTTATAAATTGTCCGCTAAAAAGAACATGATTTATTCTTTTATATCCATATTCTTAAAGACAAACTTGCAAGAAAATTCAAAAACCCATATATTCTTGACTAAAAAATTTCTTATAATTTTTTTCAAAAAAAAGATAAATTATCTAAAAATAATTTTAATATTTAGATTAAATTTATATAGATATTGTAAATTATTTTTTAAAAAAATTGATATATAATCATGCTTCTATTATTTAAAAATTTAAATAATTCATTATATAAATTATATCAAAAAAAAACATTTAAGAGCAAATATTCATATTCTAAAAAATCATATATATATATATATGTATGTATGTATGTATGTATGTATGTATGTATGTATGTATACACACACCACTATCATTTCAAAATTAAAAGAATTCATCATATAAATTATATTATTTTTTTAATAAAAAAGCAAATAACAATATTCTAAAAATTCATTAAAAAATACATACATAGATCTTTATCTCTTCCCTCCTCTCTCTTAATTTCTCTCTCTTCTTAGTAGCTAGAGATCAAATTATAATACAAATAAAATTGAGGATCAAAATAAAAGTTATTAAAAAAATGAGGAACGAAAGAATAATATGAGCAAAATTTTATGTATAAAATAGCTAA